GATCTGTAATCCACTCGCAAGGCACAGTTTGCAGCCTGTCTTGCAAGAGATAGCAACTTTCCAGCTGTCTTGCCATGCGCTATGTTTAATGTGCTAATGGGGCACCCCAAGGTTGGTTGAGATAGAGAATAAAGAAACAGGCATATGCTTCAATGTACAACTCAACCGAACAGCAAAATTGCTCAAGTAAATTGCTGAAACAAATTAAGCTTCCGCATTTATCCGTATTTTCCCTCGCTATACAATTCTTCGAGGCGGTACATCATCAACAGCTACTTCTCTCCCAGCCACTCAACTGCAAGGGACGCCGTCTGGTTTAACAGCATTTTGCTAAGATGATAACCGATTCTCCCTTTTCCTCCCTCTGCCCCAGATACTAGGTAACTTCACAAATTAATTACGGCATCATCGGGACTTGATGTTTATTTCAGTATACAGAGCGTTATAGCTTCCTGCTGCCAAAGACTCCTCTAACAGAACCCAAAGATTTACAAACCATACCCAACACACATTTTGAAAAAAAATCCCAGGCAGGCAGAAGGCTACACCATCCCCCAAACAGAGCTCCTTGATCATCTCGCCTCTCATTAGCTACAACTGCAAAGCAAAAACTAGAAAACATAAAATAAAGAGAAAAAAATATTCTTTTTGCTTGTATGTAAATGAATAGTGACACTTTAGATAGGCCATTATTATTTGCCAGAGATAAATACCTCTACTTTGTAATACGTAGGTTCAAACTATACACAACTAAGGATTTTAGGTCTAAATAATTTAATATAGCTACTCCTGGGACTGGCTGGCAGCGTGTATACGTCCCATTACAAACCACAACGTTAACCTTCTTTCACTGAAGTAAAAAGGAGAATCTTATCTGAACAGCCTCTCAGAGCTCTGCAGCCAGCGATGGAGTTAAAAGATGCAGCACAGAAGCACAGACTTTACGTGTCTTTTGCACCTACTAGTGAATGACTTTTATTTCTTTTCCCCCCAAAAAAACCCCCAATTTAAATAAATACAATAGATGTACTGGTATGCGGGTGTTTTCTTCTGCTGTGAAGCAGCCCAAACTGTGCATTCTCCATCCTACCAGCTTCTATAAAATCGTTGCAGAATTAGGAAGTCTGCTGCAGAGCTGGAGGGTCGGCACATCTACCAGGGTAACAGTCTTAGGGGCCTCTTGTCGGGAAAGGTGCAAATCTCCACGAAATAAGCTGAGTTTCCACAAATTCACAGAACTGGACTTAGATTATTCCACGGAAAGTTGAAATCCCGGTTAACGACGTAAACTACCTACGACAACGGGCAAAGAGCAAGGCGCTGGGGTGCTTTTAGTCTTCGTTAGGGCAGATTTCATCGCTTTTTGACAATCTTGACTCAAGGCAGGGTACGCGCTGCCCGTTGCGCTCCAGCGGAAGAACTCCGGCTTTCTGCTTGCTTCTATATTCAAAGGCACCTTTTGAATATACGGGTTTGGATTGTCTGTACGTTCTCCCATATTTTTGAATGTACAAGCAATCAAAAAGCAAGAATAATTAACTGGGTTTGCCGTGTTTAACTCTATAATTGTTATCATGGCTTAATTAAGAAAACAGTGTATCAAAAGGTAGGGGGAAAATAGGAAGCCAAACAACTAAAAAATCCCTTCTTTTCAGAACAGGAAAAACATTTAGATTCAGCAAGTTCTCACTAGAAATATTGCTATAAAGTATTGATTTTTTACCAGACTCAATTGACTGAAAAGTTGTTTGTATAGCAATATTGGCCAAGCCAATATACTGGAACAATTTTGCTACACACAGTAATCAAGTGTATTTCTAAAGTATAATTATACTGTCATAAAAATAAAGCTAAGATACCTCTTCTCCAAGCAATAAAACAGTTGCAGCTGTAAAGAACCCAAATAAATGAAATACATTTTCTAACTAAACATAGCGTCTTCCAAAGAGAACAAAACCACCTCCCCTCTCCCCCTTAAGCCAAGGTTAGCATGAAAAGTGATCAATACTTCAATCTCAATAAACTATTTCAATAGTAGTTAATTCACGTGGAAAGAGAGGCTGAAAATTTTTGCTCAGCGACCTGCGACACGCTATCTTGTTTGCCGAATGCTGATAATATATCATTGCCATAATGGATATGACTTAGTATAAAGAGGTAGAAAGAAAGAAAAGGAGGGGAAAAAAAAAAAAAAAGATACCGCAAAGACAGGCTCGTTCTTTAGATCCAGATCAATACTACACACAGCCTCTTCTGAAACAAACCGACAGCACGCAATGCTGGAAGAGGAAAACAGCCAAACGTTTGCAATTAATTTTATTTGACAAATGTGCATTGATTTACTGGAATAAAATATATGTGGGCTCCTATCTACGACCAGTGCAATCCAGCTACCTGTAAGTATTCCACTTTGCAATCTCCTGTCGGTTTGCGTAGCGCAGATGCTCCTTGGGCGAGGGAGAGCCCTTTACAAGGGGTGATTGTCCCAAGGGAGGAAGTTCTGCGTGCTTTGTCCAAAGCACATCACCACCGCACCGTAACCGCCAGCTCTTCAGGGATGAAAGAGGGAATGGGTGCAACTCTCCAACCCAATGCACCAAGAAACGCATTTGGGAAAATCTGAGAGGAACGCATGGCTTAGAAGCCAGTTTTGGGAGAAAATCGTATTTCGTATTTATATTCTGCTGTTGCTCGCATTGCCAAGAAAGTCAAACTTCAGGAATGTGTAAAACGTACCCATGTGAAAACGGTGCACGTTCCCTGGAGCAGCGCAGAATGACACCTGCGCTAACGAAAATACTGCAAAGTCACTGCAACCGCTAATTGAAAATATGAATGCAGGAAAAAGGAAAAAGAAAGGTAGAAATATTTCTCTGATACAGAAGAGGGCTCATGTTTTCACAGGTAAAATTTTTTTACTTTTCCCAAATTGCAGACAAATGCAACAGTTGACCGCTTAACGGTGCAGATCACAGCACCGGCCCGCACAATGCAGCAAGTCACCGTAGAAGAAGTGCCAGAAGTATTACGTGTTCCCTCCTGCGCTATTACCCTCTGCACCTTGAGCGCTCGCGTCTCTGTTCCGTCATCGCTCCTGCAAGCTCTTACTAAAGGAGTATTGATCACGTGAGAAAAATATTTTTGTAAAAATATTAAACAAAAAGTGGGCATGTAACCATACTAGCTTTCAGAAATACAAAAAGAAGTCAAAAAGGGCAAGTTTGGCTTTACATAGCGTTTTATCCAAATTTCCCATATGAATTTTACGAAATACATACTATGCACATGGTAACATTATAAAATAAAGAGACACTTTTATACCGTCTTCTGCACCCAGAAGCACCGCACGGACTGTGCACACACGGCACGTGCGGAGTAGAGCTGCTCCTTGTGAGTAGGGCAGACGCAAGTTCACAAACAGGTATTACGTTCAGCAGATCCTCGATGCAACCACATTAGTGAAGCACACGTTCACCTGTCTTGGTCTACGTTCCTCAGATTTTGGTCACTATTAGACGCAGGACGAAGGGGAGAGACTTTTGGTAGGACCTGGTACGGCCATTCTCATGCTGCTCATCGTTTCCATTGCCAGCTCCTTATTTCAGCTACTTCTTTAGAGAAAATGACCCAGAACCGGGTAACAATGGCACGCGCGGGTTCCCTCACTTGTTTCCTTTTCCCTAACTGTGCCTCAAGTCCCTTCCGCAGGGACAGAGCATGTGGCCCTCCTCTGCGGAGCTTCTCCCACCTACAGCCACTCCCGGAGCCTCCATCAGTAGACAGGGAAGAGAAGCAACCTCCTCTACATCAGAAAACACCCACAAGTCACTGACTGAGTTGTAAAGTTCAACGCTCTCTCTCAATTTTTTCTTAAAAGTAAGAAACCAACACTGTTTCTGCAAGTTTCTTGGTCTAGGAACATCCTTCTACAACAGAACGTCAATGAGGTTTCTGAACTACGTTCCATCTACAAGGCTAACCTGGTTTCTGAAGAGTCCGCTCAAAGACTGGATTTGTTCCTTTAACGTTTTGGAAGTCCATTTTCATTAAACCTTCTGCAAGGAGAGTCATTTTGCAATGCTGGCAGCCAATTAGAAACTAAACTAAATGCACTGTAGCTTTTAAAATATTTTTTAAAAAAAAATACGTTAATATCAAAGTTAAAATGTCTAAAGGTATAAACAAAATCATAATGGGATGCTGGGTTACTGTATATGGTAAATAGCTCTCTGGAGGAAACCTTTATTACTCCCTCAGGGCTTTCTTACAAAGTATGGATTTCTTAATTCCTAGTGGAATATTTTTCATACCCCACTGCAGACTATTAAGTACCAGATATTACATTATGTAGTTTAAACTTTGCACTATGCATGAGAAAGACTTTCCTGTCGAGAAAACTATATCTCTGCTATTATAATCTTTACAATATTAAAATTAATACTGGCTGCAGGGTATAAGCTTCACCACCAAAATTTGGGGGAGTTTATCATTTAATATATTCATCAGCCTGTGCGTGAAGCTGCTCGTAAGGGAGGGAAGTCACTGCAACAGCGCGAGGGGTATTTACTAATTTTGAATTGCCAGAGAAAGGCAGAGCAACGGTGTCATCACATCCCACCGGTGTCATTCTCGGTACCAGGCTAGCAAAGGGCGTGGTGAGCCAGCAAGAATAATGGCATTGCAAATACCGAAGGCAATTCATTATGCTTCAGGACATTTCAAGTTCCACTTGTGAACCATTAACTTGTTACCCAGGAGGGATTCAAAGCTAAGTATTAAAAAGATAATAAAAATGCACCAGCCCTCACGGCACCCAAAAGCAGAAACCTTGTAAATATGTAAAGAGAATTCTTAAAAAGTTTATATGAAGAATTTCTTTTACAATCTTTTCTGCATAGCAGCAATGGCCCACCTATATCTCACTACAAATACGAAGGGGGGGAAAAAAGCGTGCTGTTAAATTTTATTTTCAAAAATTTTAAGTGAAATTCAACACTCACTTGTAGACTGTGCCTCCATTGCCATGACCGAGGATGTCTCGATACCGTATGTCTTGTTCATTCATCTCCACAAAAAAGAAAGAAAAACAAAAGAGATGTCATGCTGTGGATGGAAATGTCAAGGAAAAGCAACTCTAGGCCATAAACAACAAGCAGTCTGGGTCATTTCAAGTTCAGCTGCAAGAACGAGAAGATCAATACAACATTTGCTGTCCAATTTATAAAAGACGATACCAAGGGACAAAGTGATGGAAAGTTTAATGACAATTTGTTTGCCTGGGTCATTTCATTAAAGTTTGATAAAAGGTGTCAAAATGGAATGATATAATATAGCTCAAGAGGGTCAGGTCACAGATACTGATAGGAAAAGGGTCTCCAGAACAGCACATAACCAAAGCCAAAGTTGGAGGTGAATGGAAACAATCCAACAGAAAACTGTCATCTTGAGTACGGCTAGAAAAGTTTATGATTTATTCTGGAATCAGCATAATTGATACTAATTGAGTGACAGTTCTGTCAGTAGGATTGCTTCTTAGTGCTTAATTTATATACCGTTTAACTAAAGGAAATAGTCGGGGGCGGGGGGGAAGTCTTGAATTGCCATCCAATAAAAATAATTTTCCTTGAAATACACAACTAATTGCCTCAATCTTTCCGCTCACTGGGACAACTCTCCATATATGATGATATCCTCAGCTACTCAAGCAGAAGCCCGATACCAGCACCGAACACTGCAAATGCTGAAATTTGGGGTCTTTCTGATATGGATTTTATTAAAGCTGATTATACACCACCTTGCTGGATGAGCAATTCAAATGTAAAACATTTGTAAAACACACGTTCAACCTTCTCCTGTACAAATACAGTTATACCGATCTTCCAGCTGAAACAACTATTAACAAGAAAATCACTACAGACATTTTTGGAATGCACATGCAGACTTGAAATTAAATATTTTAATGAGAGGAACTTCTGGGCTGTGTGCATTCGCTATTCCAGAAAGATCTCCTCTATTACCTGATCATTGTAATAGTAAACGTCTGGGCAAATCTCATTTTTAAAAGATATTTTCCTAGGAATTTGTTACCAAATGTTTAACTTGTTTCTATTAACTATCTATATTTGATGGCATAGCAAGTTAAACATTTTACATGAGTCGGCATGGCTGCTTAAAGACTCTTATCATTTTTGCACGTTAAAATGCACCAAAAAAACCCCCTTAACGGTGCGTCTGGCCTGCTATCACTGATGTGATTAGAGATCACGTAAGCACAGCTGAGATAGCCTCAAATTAGGTATTTATTTCAAGGACCACCGGCACCGTGGCGAGAGCCGCGCAGAGCTCACCATAAGCCAACTATCTGCATTTATCCAACTTCTGAAACGGCTTTTCAACTTCAGCGGGGACACGTGCCCTACAGTTACTAAGTCATGTTTCAGCATCCGCTTTCATATGAAGTCAGCGAAGATAAGGGGAACTTTGCCCCCGGCTTCAACTGGAACAGGTGAGTGATGGTAACAAGCTGAAATGCCCCGAAGAGTCAATGCTCAGCACGTCTTCCCAACAGAAAATGGAATATTTAATCCATTTAAAATAATGTGTTTTAAGGATAGAAATGATGAACTCCAAAATTTGTGTTCTTTCCTTTCACTACCTGAATAAAAAGCGTGCTTGTTTTTCCACAGGAAATACTTTTCCTCTGTGCATTTCTTCCGGTGAGGTCAAAATCTCTGAGTTCCGAGAAAATTCGAAGTAACTCAAAGCCAACAGCTGACTCGACATCATTACCCACTTGGAGTTAAACCTGGGCCGGATATTATCAGAGGGTATGAAATGGCCCATTCAAGCAACAAGGTTTATGATGAAAATGAAAATTGATTTTATTACTGAAAGCTATCTTGCTTATTGCATCAGTCAGAAAATGCAAATGGGGGGGGGAGGAAGACGTTCCATAAAGGAACAATAATTCATTAACGGGTTTTAAAATACGTAAAGAAAGTATCCGGGATCCCTTGCTCTAAACCTGATTTCTCTCAGACTGCAGTACTCATTAATTTAAAGCACATCCTGCGTTTAAGGAGTTCTGCTCTTCTAAGCTGGAGGACTTTAACTCTCCAGCCTTTGAGGTACCAACAAACATCTCTTTCCTACATTCACAGCAACGTTTGTATCAAGAAAACTCTTCAGAGAAATCAAATGAATGGACAAAGCTATGAACGTAGTTCTATCTTTGCTTCTTGGGTGGAAAAAAGAAGAATTTTTTGTAGCTACACAAGTTATAAGCAACAAATTGAGCAGAACCAGAGACATAAAGCGTATTCTCTTTTCTCCTGCTTTTTGCTAACTGGTAAAAGGAGAGTATTTTCTCCAGACCATTTCCTAAGAGCCAGCGATGGGAGCAGCTCCGTCCCGCTCGTGCCCGCTGCCAGCCCAGCGCCGTTTCTTGGCTCTATGCACAAAGGAGCAACCAGAAACCCAGGGCGAAGGGAGGAAGACTGGGGTGGAGCAAAGATCTGCCAGCAACCGATAGAGAGATAAACTGTGATTTACTGGCTCAAATAAAGATGCCAAAACCATGTGGTGATTTATTTATTTTACTGGGAAAACTGGATTCTCAATCATAAAACGATAACATAATGACAATGAACTCGACAGGATGGACTGGAATATTAAACCTGCAAACCCAAGTTTGATTGGATGCCAATATTAACAGAATTAATGAAAAAGCGAAACAGACTCCAATTACGGATCAGCAAACAAAACATCCCTCGCTTCTACCTGCTGTTTTCGAAAGAAATCGGTGTCTCTCTCTTGTAAATCATTAAAACCAAAATGCTCAATTAATCCTTATTTTATACGTAAAGGCCCGAGAGAGGCGGAGTCCTACAGCCGTACCTTCGCTTTAGGAATCGAAGCAATAATGGTTTCAGAAAGCAGTCACACTCTATGAGCAGACAATTGAAGAGATTTAGTAAATCCCACTTTATAGAGCAGAGACTAATCGGAAAACACAAGCCAGTCAAATGTTTCTTATGAACTGTTGACACTATATCAATGCTGAATCAATTGGTGGCATTTACTCTGAGTGACAGAAAAGAAATAAATATTTATATCACATCACCTATATCAATGAACCTAGGCAGAAAGCTATTTCTAACCTGTCAATATTTGATTATCTTGAAGAATCATGTCCCCTTCTTTTAATGATTAATATGAATTCCTTATTAAACCTAAATGGAAACTACTAGAGGAATATCATTATGAATGCCTGAAAGCATAAACTGCCAAAAAATAACAAAAAATAATAACCCGACCCATATTTAAGTAATGATAAGTGTGACAATCCCACGAAAGGGGGAAAAGTTACAACTAGAAACCTATTTCCAGTTACGGATCTGTGACCAAATTTTGCAGAACACAATGCAGCATAACACAAAGCATTTTCTCTCGACACCAAGCAGTGTAACTCCTATCAGAGCAGGGTGAATAAAACAGTATTAAAACTTATTTTGAATTTTCTTTTTTTTTTTTTTAAATGGGTTCAAGTAACATTTTTTTAATATCATAATAAGAGTTTTGGTTCCTTTATGTCTTTCTAAAATTCTACTACGCAGGAAAGAAATCTGTAACAATCTATTGCAGGGCACACCAACTCCTTATTTCTATTACTTAGAACAAATAAAATGCCAAATACAGCTTACGGACTCAGTCACAAAACAATGGCTTTTACTCACGTTCGGTAATTCTACTTCAAAAATAAGTAGGAATATTGGAGTAATTATCAACTTCATTTTAAAAGTTCAGAAGCATGCTGCTGGTACTGACATCATTTTAAGGCATCCAGAAAAATATATTGTTCAGCTCTGATTTCGAAACATTTAACAAATCCACCTGGTAGGAGTCTGTGCATATTAAATTACACCTGCACCTAAGGCACGCTGACGAGCTTAACAATACATTTCCAAGCTGTATTCAAAGGATTCGGTGCCAAACGGGCAAGGCTGCAATACGGGGCTGTTCGACTCACGTTTTAGAGGGGCACGCTCATCTATTAGACCACAATGTTACAGGTGATACTGAAGGACAAGCATGAAGACCAGCCTTTATCTTCTTGACACGCTCAACTACAACTACTTGATTCATGAAATGCCAATGAGGCTTGGAGAGGTCATTGTGTGAAGGCACTGAATACGCATCTGAGATAATTAAGATTTCAGCCTTCGAAACATGGAGGGGAAGTGAACAGCAGTTAAGAAAATCAATAAGAGTCTTTTATTTGCAGTGACACAGATGTCTCAGTCAATAGAGCCTAATAGGCAAGCCTGATCGCAACGGACAGGTGCCTGCCTCCAAGGCTATCGAAGGGCTTTCACTATGACAAACATTAAAACATATTTATGTTGCCGCCGAAGAATCCGGGCTTCTTTGAAGGTAGTTTAATTTAACGGCGTGTATTTAATGCCATTACGCCACTGCGAGCCTGCCCGCACGTTCAGCTCCAAATGGGGAAGAACCGATTGCTCCATTCGTCCAGGACGTCCGTTTGTCCGTCAATTGTTACGTTAAACCTTTCGCTTCGGGGTGCCAGAATCTGAATGCCTGAGCAGGAGTAGAAAGTAACAGGACAGCTATCTACAACTTTGGGGGTTTTTTTGGTTTAGGTTGGGTTGGTTTGTTGGGTTTTTTTAAGAAGCTACAACATAATGCGATTCCAAATAGTACAGAGCGGTTCCTTGCAAAAACCCGCTAAATATTTAAGAATCTGCTGCCCTAAAAAATACGAAGGTCATTCTAACTGAGCACTTGACTTAGTTATTCAAAATTGATTAACTTTCTTCCCTGAAATTGTGGCAGCAGCGCAACACGTGTGAGGTACTTCAATCTATTTGGAGCTAAATCTGATTAGCACGTTTTGAGAAATGGGAAGCAAATTGCTATGCCAATCAAAGTAAATCAGGACACATATCTCATTCATATCGTGAAGGTTTTCATGGTCCCTCCAGTTCTGTATTAAAAGAACACATTACAACCAAATGAGCAGTAAGCATCTCTCCACCTCTTTGTGGTGTGCCAATCACCGCAGCATTAGGCAGTAACGAGACATGCATGTAGCCAAGACTCGATTCCATGCACCTACCTGGCCATTTGCAAGTATTTTCTTCAGCTCTGCAGAAGACTTTCTTAAGCTGAAAAAAAAAAAAAAAAGGCAGTTGTTTTTAATGACTCTGCCATTTCACTCTATAAAATGAAGTGAAACCGTAAGAAACAACAAGCCAGCAGGTTAAGTTCACGGTTACGTATTCCGAATAGATTTAACTTTAGCAATGCTGACTGATGTTCAGTATAGCTACTCCTCAAACTGCAGACCACAAAAATGGAAAAGCAATGAACATTCAAGAAAATCAATGTATTTTTCACCTTTACAAACTAGCTTTTTTAGATACCTGACTATACTACCCTTCACGATACAACCTATTGTTTTTCAGTTCAAAGAAGAAAGATACCCTCACACATCAGGTGTTTCAAAAAAAAAAAAAAAAAAAAAAAAAAAGGAAAATAAGGTTCATGTTTAGTTTTCCAGGTGTCTTATCTTGTTCTAAACCCCCTTAAGGCATTATCCCTCAATAATTTCCATAACTCTGCAGCAGAAGGGTGCGCCACCGGTGATGCCTCATGACCTCAGCTCACGGCAGGTTGCAGCACGGCGAGCACAACTCCCGACCGAGGCATCTCGGGGCCGTGCCTAAAGCGAGGGGGGTGACGCCGGGTTGCCACGCGCATCCGTTCCAGGTCAACTCGCTGCTGCGGTCCCTCTGCTTTTGCAGGAGAAACTACGCCTGTGCCCGGCAGTCTTACATGATGCAAGATGACCCATACTGTTTTTTTCTACTAAGAGAACTTTAACAAACCACAACTGTCAGCTTGGCGTGTTTTGTAAGGAAAAACTATTAATGGTTTCAAACTACTTCCACCCACTCGCAAAATACTGCTTCACCCCCTTTCCCGACAAACTCTGTTCCTTGTACGTTCAACAGAACAAACTGCCTGGGTAGCAATATGTCTGCAAAACTTAATCTCAAAGAGACATTCTGCTCTTATTAGTGAAGTTTGGGGGGGGGAAAAAAAAAAGTACAAAATAATATATTCTTGAAAGGCATGCGCACGTGTCTTGATCACAGATCATTATTAGCAAGAACAGTGAAAACACAGATTTCATATTTGGTGGCTTTGTTCTTTAATAGGCCTCTTGTTCCCACCACTGCTTTAAAGAAAAATTAAGTTTTCCAAGGAAACATAAGTTGATCTTGTCATCTTTCATGACTAACAATTTGTGAACATGAAACAAAGAGAGACTTTCAATTACTTCAAAAACAAAACTCATAGTGCAGAAGGTTTTGGAAAAGGAATGGCAATTAACCACCAAATAAGGTGACAAGAATCTTCTAGAAGCCTCATTTTCAATGCACTTTAAGAACAAGCTCAAAGTACAGGACGTACTGAAAGGCAGCTTTATTTAGTTCAGTGGTACGACAGATCGGGAGGAGGACTGCAGTTCATATTTATTTTCTTTCAAGAGTTTCAAATAGGATCTTCACCACTGCAATACACGGCGAATCTTCCCCAGGGGACGGGGGCAAACTTTGCCAGAGGAGATTCACCCAGGCATTGGCTTGCTTTATTTTTTTTTTTTATTATTTTTTTTTTTTAAAATCTCCTCAATTAGCAAAGCCACTAAAGAGAAAATCCAAACTGGTTTTAGTGGTACCACAATGGGGCTACCCGCTCCAGCACTGCTGCCAACCATGCGGGGTAGCATCCTCCTCCTCAGCAGCTAACCCCGGCACATCACTCCCTCCACGCAGAGACGGTCCCGCCGCCGCAGCGCGTCGCGGTGTCTGCCGGAACGGGCACCCCCGCTTCACCGTCTGAGCATCCTTAATGCCCTACGACTGTGTCTTTGATCACGTTCGTTTCTGCCAAGTTTTTTTTTTGGGGGGGGGGATGTTTGGGGTTTTTTTGGGTTTTTTTAAATGCTCTTAGAGAGAAAAGGGAGCAGCGTGCTGATGCACGGATAAATGTAATATATGCTTGTTAGAATAATAGATTAATTTAGGTTGAAAGGGACCTCCAGAGATTTCTATTCCCACATTTCAAACATGCTCTTATACGAAGAAGATGGAGCCAGACTTTTCTTATTTCCTTTTAAGAACACACAAGGGGTTTTGTGGGGTTTTTTGTTTGTTTGTTTAACATCAGGATTGAGTACGAGACCTTCCTGTAACAGTTGACGTAATAAAAGGGACTTCATGCTCCAGTATTTAAAAACCAGATCTCTGGAAAAAAGAGAAAGTCTTCCCTTGCATTCCAGGATCTTAATACGGGCTTTTGAAGTTAGGACTGGAATCTAAAAAGATAAAGAGAGACGGACTCCAAAACTTTGCTGAAACGGTATGAAACAGGCCACCTAAGCTGCTCATATTTTTCAAAAATCTCATCTCACAATAATAAGCCTACTGAATTGGGTATTACATTTTAAAAATCAAAGAATCCTGGAATGAGATAGAAGCAACGAAGACTTAAACACAGAGACCTTGTCGCAGACAGCGATTATTAGATCAAGTAAAACAAATTATCTCACCCATAAACAGTATTTCAATGCTTTATAAAGGACAAAGCCATCTGAAGTACCCAGCAAAGACTTATTTCTTTTGGCAGAAAATACTTCTCCTGAAGAACCAGCAGTACGAGTCTAACAAGATCCATGAATCAAGGTAATTTCCTCTTCCCCACTTCACTCCTGCGCACCCAGTAGTCATATTGAAAAAGTTATTCACCACCAAGCTTATCGTTGGTAACTGCCGCACACAAGGCTCCGTTTTGTTGTAAGAAAAGGAAAGAAAAGACAAAACAACACGTACGCTCCCGTTCTTGACTCTTACCTATTGCTTGGAAGGGAATCCGAGACCGCCGAACTGCTATTATTAGCAGACCCTGCTCGCGTATTTACCTGCAGGCAGGGAAAGGATCTTTATCAGTCGTTTGTGTTCAGAGGACACTATTCTAATTAACCTGTAATTTGCCATGAATTTCTCATTTCACTACGAAGGTTAATTAGCTTGTTGCTAGGCATGCCGACGGTTGAGGTCTCGCCTGTATGTAGGTTAGCAGGCTATATAATTCGCGGACTACAATATACTATCTTTACATCTTAAATGCGTAGTTAAATAATACAGAAAAAGAAAGGGATGGTATGTCCACCATTTATTCTCACATTAAAAACTAAACAATCATTTGATATATTCGGAGTCTTCTGCGTTTCAACGTGGGTACGATTACAGAAGCAATAAGCGTACCTGAACGAATCAAACAACCTAAAAGAATTTCATCGCGGTGCCTTCCACGCTTAGATAAATTACTGAAATCAAGTGAGTACAGTGGGGTTGTTTAAACTCTTTGAAGTAGTGGCAGACATTAGTCGATAAACCGAATATTAAAATTTAGGAACCTTATTAACAGAGGTTAAAAGCAAAAAGAAAGGCAATTCCATTTTTACTAACACTGTATATATGGATATCGCAGCCAACACCCAGCAGATGAATCCTTCTCCCACCCTCACAAAAAAAAAAAATTTAAAAAAAATTTAAAAAATCTGCTTGTCAGAGCTCAAGAAAGTGCAGTTTTATTTGACATTTCAATAAGTGGAACACAGCATTACAAATCCATCTAACTTTACTGAAACAATTATTGAAATTCGTACCTTCAGGCCATGTATGTTCCGTTTCCCAGGAGGCTTGCAGGCTGAAACAGTAATTGACTAAATTGTAGAACACATCAGGGCCATTTACAAATTTGCTCAAAATGAATCTTTTAAAAAGAAATGAGGGTGACACCAAAATTAGCAGAGAGAAATGATTGAAAAGTGCCTCACAAGACCCAGAGTGGGAATTATGAACCAGGATTTTTAACTTGCAGGAGTGAGCATTTATAAATGCTAAGAGCTTTCTGACACCATGTAATATAAATTCTAATTTCTGCTTAAAACACATCAAAATCAAGAGAACTGTTGGCTTAAATTATCAGCTTCTTTTTGTAATTCAAATTAAAATCAATATCTTATGTCACTATATTTTCACATGCTGTATTTTTTCCTGGCATTTAACAGAAATATTTGCAAGATGCATTTTTACAGGAGTCAGCTGCCACACATCACGAATTAGTCATATTGTCAAACGCGGACGCTTTGTTTTAAATGTGGAAAAAACACGTCAGGGGCAACAGCAGTGAGTCTCAAGAAACCAAAAGACCGGATAAATGCAATACAAAATGCCAGATTTTGGGCACGGACGTACAAACGTGGCGTCTCGTTACGACGTCTAGGTTTACGGAGGGACACGCTGCTGGAGGAGAAAGTATTTCCTAAAGTCTCTCGAACTGTACGTTGCCTCGTTCTTCCATTCGGTGGACGTGCTTTTGTCAAGCGGTAAAGCCACAAAGGCTCCTGGCTACACGTTACAGACAGTTCCCATTTTAAAACCAGCGTGCCCTACAAATGGTATGTTAAAGGGCCTGTCACTTGTGATTGATTGTCTGAGGAGGGACGAATTTGATTTTTCTCTTTCTCCGATGCACATGCATTTCGCTTCCATTTTTTGACAGCAGGAAACAGAACTATTTATTAGTCAGAAGGACACAGATGATAGTTATTAAACACATCAGTTAGGCCAGGCTGTGTGCCTTTAAGTGACATTAGAATGTGCATCTTAAAAGAAGAAAAATATTATGATACTGTGGGCATTAAAAAAACCCCACCCAAACAAACCGAAAAGAAGAAACTATTCCAATGTATTATACTTTTTCCAATAGATTAAAATCAACATTTTGAACAAGATATTAAAAGAATAATATTTTTAGGATATATATTTGAATGGTATATTCCCCTTGCATTCCACAGATGGGGTATACATATGTAATACATACATATGTGTGCGTGTGCACGTGTATGCACAGACTCTCTTGTTCGTGTATGTGCATACAAAGGTTTATTTCCAGTACAAAAAAAGAACTTCGGTTCTTACTACCTAGAAAGCAACAATGCATTTTTTAATTATTTTTTTTTAAATAGACAAAATACCATATTTTTTTCCCCGCCCCTTAAAGACCTTTGAATTATCAAACGAACACAGCACAGCCAAGGCAACCAGGACGGCACGTGGACATTTACTCCGGGCAGGCTTTACGGAGGACACGAATGTTTGGAAGCTGACTGGAGACTGCAACTGGGAGCTTCCTCAGAAGTAAGAGAGGCAGAAGGGGAAAAACGCTCGAGGGAAGATCGGGCTTGCAAAGAAAGCTCTTAAAAAGGGAGAATCTTAAATTATACGCGGAAAAGCTGCATGTTACTGATGGGGATTGAACCTGCAGTACGTAGAGAGACACGGCCGAAAGGGCACGAAATAAAAGCGCTTGCGCTAACAAAATTTGGGATGTTCATTAGAGAAGCAGGACTAGAACTTTAAATGCCGGCAGATGGGGAAAAAAAAAAAAAAAGAAGCAGGAAAGTGCATTTTGTTTGCTATCGCAGAAAAGCAGAACGCAGAGGCAGCCTGGGTGGCTTTGGAGCTGGAACCTGGGAAGAACAGATGTTGTAAGGTGGCGATTCGGAAAGATGAAACGGCAACTCAGAGCAAGGAAATACCCAGCAACGTGCGTAGAGCCAACGGTGAAAACGTGGAGGTACTACGTGGGGATCGTGTCCTCAACAGCATGGGGATGAATTCTGAATCTGTACAGTCAGAGATTACGGATGTAAAGGAAACAGAGAAAGGAGGAAGCAGCAGGAGCAGGAATCTACTTGGCTGGTTCTTCAGGATTGACCCAAAAGGAGAGGCAAAAAGAAGATTAAGCCCCATTTGTAACCTCAAAACGTCCCCTTAAACACTCGGGCATGCCAGCTACTGCGCACCTCCTGCCTCAGCTTCCTCACTGTTTGCTTAAGGGGAAAGATAGCCAATTGCCTTTAGCCTGAGCCAGGAAAAATAAAATAAAAAAAATAAATCTCCATATTCCCCTTGAATTCAAGTCTCTTTTCCACGGGAGCGAAGTACCAGGAAACCCAGGCTCCTTTTGAGACCTTATTAGCATGTGTTTGAGAAGACTGTTGGTTAATTGCCCAATTCAAACTTCAGAGAGTTGTAAGTAATGGAAGTCTAGAATGTTTAATTGGGAAACTCATAGTATGATTATTTGTATAATATCAGTTAAGTGAGAAGACTTTAATTTTTAATTATTTCAATTAATTTATGGCTGGGAGATTTACTTGGAGAATTTAAACCTTATCTGTTTCATCAATTAAGAATCAGAGATTCAAAGGCTGGATAGTGAGAGCGTCTGAATGAATCAGCGGAATTATGTAATGCGTTCGTCTTTTTTTTAACCGTGATTTAAGTTCAGAGCAAGCGGTGCATTCCCAAAAACCTAACTAGCTGCCTACGGATTTTGGTTCAGGATGTAGATGACCTATTTTTTAATTGCCTCAGCCCACATAATTGATTACATCTTTCCCTGTTCGGAAGAACTATTAAAGTACTTGTGATCATTTTGATACCGCCAAGTGCCCAAGTCTCAAGTAAAATGTGTCACACGTAGAGCTTCTCTGACAGACATGTTCCCGTTTTCAAAACGAACGACGACAGTCACATTCCCCAAGTCTGTCGGACTGATTATTAAAATAATAAAGATCTCAACGATATTAAAAGATCTCAACAAAACCCCATTTTCTTAAGTACCCGAAACTTAAGTTATTCATCTGCTTTGGTTTGAATACATGCAGAACTATCACCAATGAGTTTTTTAAATGTACATAAATATGTACTATGCAAACTGAATCTTGTTAGTCTAATTTACTCCAGTAAATTAGCTATTTTATATGCAATAAATGTAGTTTTCACTACACTCCCCACAATAATGAATTCTCCTATCCAAATTAAGAGGTAAACATCATGTTATGTGCATTTAAACCTCCCGAAAACATAACTGTTGATGAAACAGTTTACTGATATCATCATTGTTGATTAGAATTTGTTAAGCATTACCTCTTGGATATATCTGTAGAGGCTCTATTAACTGTCCATTTACTTGCTGTTCCATTACAGTGGAGCAATACTGCAAAGAGATTAAAGAAAGAGATTACTCAGTAGTGTATGAATAGTAGTAAAAGCACTTACAGATTGTTTAATTCAATGTATTTTTTAATTTTTTTTTTTTTTTTAAAATTGCCATAGCACGTATCAGCCTTTAGAATGCTTCCTTACCATTTGCAACGTTCACGCACTGAAGCGGTACGGGAGGAACGTAAGGAAGGGGCTGCGATGCCCGGCGCGGGACGGGCTCCACCACAGGGACCTGTTACCGGCTCAGATGAGCCTTCCCCAAAACCCGGGAACGCATCGGAAGACCAAGTAAATGAAATATTGACAGCAAACACAGCGGTTGCCACACCTGGAGAAGCCGGGAAAACCACTCAAACGTGGAAACAAAGAAATACTGTAAATGCAGTGAAAACCTGCGCAATTAGGAACACTTCGCAGTGATGAGGCAGAGCCAGGGCAGCCGGGGCCACGTCTCGCATCAGCAGAGACGTGGCGCGTTCCCTTGGCGTACGCGTTGAAGGCACGGTAGGGTGTGCAGAACAGTGTTACAAGAAAGTCACTGCAGACACACGGAGCTACAGGGGTGACCTGGGGGGAAGTCTGATGAAGGAGAAAGGTTGAGAATGGACAAGAAGGGATGCGAAAGTATCTCCGACCGTCAAGACCCAGGAAGACAGAAACCACCTGAGGTGGCACGAGGAAGCCGGAGAAGTGGCACAAGGATGAAGAGTGGCGTTAAATGAAGAAATAAACATTTGGATTAAATAAACCTAAATCTTTATTAGCCTTTCTTAATCAACTCTCACTCCCGAGGAGGGGCGAACGCTCACCAGACAGGACATTTAACATCACAACCGGACGATCCCGGGGCAGGAGACAGACCGTGCTACGAGTTTACTGTCTATAACCCACACCTCTCTCACCGGGATGTGTTAAATATTGAAAGCACATCACAAAGCGCATTTCTTTTGCGATCGCCGAGCATCTTTGAAGCAAACACGCTGGCTGTTGGCCAGATCTTCATGGCATAAATCAGCATAGCTCCACTGACTTTCATGCTAATTCTCACCAGCCGAGTGTGGTCTAAGACTTCAGCACGTCACTGTTACCAGTGTTTTCTGATACTATTACTCAAACTGGCAAGACTGGATGTCAACACGAGAAAAAAAAAAAATATTCTACGCCTCTATGGAATCAAACACATGTATTTCACGCACACCAATGGTTTTCCATAACCCAAGCATTTTTTACTTACGCAACTTAAAAAAGACAAAAGTTTATTAACTACCTAACGTTACAAAACGTTTTTCCTTTCTCTTACAGTGGGATTAAATTTGTGAACTATAGTAAGGAAATGCTAGACGGACACCAAAGTCAATCTACGTGCAGAAGTTTTTCAGTGCTTCTGTTTTTCACGTTCGTGTCAAGAAACAGGAAGAAATTTCCTTTTTGGGGGAAAAAAAAAACCTGTTACGAAGAAAATTGCTGAGGGTTTAAGGACCCGTCCAGCCCCACCTCCTCTGCGTACACCTAGCATGATGCCTGCTGCTAAAAGCATTTCCCTCATTGAAATCATCAAAATCACAACATTTTTGAGGGGGGCATCTCATTCATATTAGCGTACAAACATATAAACCCACATCTTAAACAACCCCGTCACACATGCTTTCACCATGCTTATACAGAGCGAAACTATTCGTTACGAAAGCCCCATTTTTAAATGATCGAGACATTTTGCAGGAGTCAGGACGACCCCACAGACTTATTTTGTATCGGGGGGGTCATGAATAACATGCCAAATCCTCCCCCACGTCCCCATATCCCTTCGTAAAAACGCGTCACCAGTACCTAACAGGTACGGAACTGTGAAAGAATCTCCTGCTCCATCAGGGGCCAAAATTACTTAAGAAAAAGAAACTTTTTTAATTACCATTTTCCTAGTGGCATTGTATGACCTGAAGGCATATAGACACAGACGGTATAAACATGTATGACACACTCGCTAGAATAATCAACTAAAATAAACATACATGAGACTGCTTCCTACCAAAAATATAAAATAAAGAGGGAGAGAGAGAGAAAAAAACGTGGCCCTCTCCATTACTCAAACAGTGATGACAAGTAAATGAAATATCAATCATGTAAGCTGTCAACCTTTTGGGACAGCAATAACTGTTAACAAGTAGTCTGGAAAAATTGTCTGAAAATGACTTGTCCTCCACACACGAGCATTTGAGGTTTCCATGGAAAATTAAGATGCCAGTGGCTATTTGGAACATTGTTCAGGTATTCTTTTTAATGGAAAATTTGCTAGTTATTGATCCAGAGCGTGTACCCCTTGCTTTCAGAAAGCTGCAAGCAACTTTCCAATCAGTGGCTGTCAAAAAAATTACTGCCTTTTTATACTGATACAAGACAACAGCTAAAGTGCAACTCCACTGCTGCTCAATGTCTGTCTTTAATTAACCGCAATGCGCAACAGAAAAATAATTTTATTTACCATTCCACAATATTTGCATCGGCATAATGCAAACTATTTCCGCAGACTCCAAAATAATTCCAGAACTGCTTGAAATAACTTACTGTCAAGTTAGGAAAGCAAAGAACCTAAAGAAAAGAGGTCGTGCGTGATTCAAAACATCTTCCCCGATTCTAGTGTCATACCTGCACGGAAGAGATCTGTATTCTCAGGGAATTATTTTTTTTTGTGCTTAAACTGAAAGAAAACCCTTCACTTCCATTTTGGAGAATACTAGAAGAACTAGAGGCAAACTGCACCATGTCCAAACTCCCTAGAAATATTTTAGCAGCTATTCAAGCCTCTGAATATTTGTTGCAGGCCTCAAAATACTCATTTTTGAGTATTTTTCTCCACCGGTATATTCTTCAAGATTACAGTAGATTCGTTGCTTTTCCTGTACGCCAAGAACATTTGTTTTCTTATAAAGATATCCCCAAATGACACCTATAGGATGTTAGAAAGTTAAATCACCAATGCAATGCTCAAATAGAAAACTAGTTTAAAACTGAAGAAAAACATTTTCAGAGAAGAAAAGCTGCTGAAGCGGAAAGAAGTCATTTACAGACATCCCATAATTTTTAAGGGAAAGCAGAGAGTTGAGCAATCATAACTCTAATGTACTGAAACTTTAACAGTAAGCTTGGAAGCATAGCAAAAAGATGACCTTACAGAGGCATGATTAATCTTAAGATTGTGCCAGGAAAATTCAAGTTTTCCAGTTTAACGGCAAAAGTGGCAGACATTTTATAAGGAAAATTGAGAAACACCAGGAATTCCAGCGGGGGAAGCATCACCAGCCATCTAGTTGTACGAAACAAAAGAAAAAAACCCCTCAAACAAGCACAAAACCCCCCTGACCGCAGCAAGATTTTTCTGCCTTTCTTTCACACAACCATCTTACGCTCTTTAATATCAAACCCGTAACACGACGGTTTCATCTCCTCTGGAAAGAAAACCGCACGTGAGAGGGGCTTATTTAATAAATCCCTTGAGTTCCACAGATCAATCACCAGCATCTTTCACCCCAGGATTAAGCCGCGGGCGATGACTAAAGTCTCTTTGAGCCAGGGTTTGCTAACAGACTTCCAGGTGACGAACATCCACCCTGGCCATCACAAGGGAAGAGCG